TAGTCTTAGTAGTCCTACCATTTCGTTTTTTGCACCTAGATCTCTGAACCATCTGGAGTTCGTGCCTGCGTGTGGTGTGAGTCACAGCTCCAGTCTGATCTCTTCCCAGGTGGCCAGCTACCTGTCTGGGCACCGTTAGTCCACAAAGTCGATTTTGACCCAATGATTTCCGAACGAACCTCAGTAGATCTCTCGACTTTCTTTTCCATTCCTCTGGTCTTCTGTCTATCATACGGCAGAATTCATGCTCTTATAAGAGACTTTATAGTATGTGTTAATATTTTGTAGAGCTAGGTCTCCCTCATAGCCTTTTTTTTTCCCCCAGATTTTCCTAACTATTCTTCCATGTTTATTCTTCCATCTGAATTTTAGTATCCATTCAGGATCTAGAAAAATATTTTGCTATTTCCATTGGAATCTCATTAAATTTGTAAATTTACTTGAGGGAAAACTGACGGATTTATTACAAATCAAAAGATGACTCTCCAATCTACCTGAAATCTCCTGAAAGACAAATTTACTATCAGTAGAAGACCTCCAAATCTGTCTCCTCCAGTTGAAACTCAGGCTACCCAAACATAAAGGCCGAGCCTCACTTATTTGGGTCTAAAGTGGAATAAACTGTTGGGTTAGCTTACTTTGGAGGTTTCTGTCAAAAGAATTAGAAAAGAAACATCGGTTAGAGGCATAAGAATCGGAAAGGAATTCACGTGCAGATGATGCGATAGCAGATGATAGAATCTACGATGTGTTATTGATATAGTAAGGTAGCAGGATATAAAATTAACATGCAGAAATCGGTAGCCTTCATAAATATAAACAATGACCAGGGAGGGGAGGTAATGTAAAGAAAAACCATTTACAGTAGCAACAAAGAAGATAAAATACTCAGCAATAAATTTACCAAGAAATGTTCAAAATCTGTTTGAGGCAGACGTTAAACCACTCCTGAAAGACACAAAGGTAGATTTGGACAAATAGAGAATCGTCTTTTGTTCTCGGAAAGGATGACTCGGTGTAATAAATTTGCCAGTTCTCCCCAAGTAAATGTATAAATTTAATGCAATTCCAGTAGAAATACCAAAACATTTTTTTCTAGATCCCAGACGGATGCCCAAATCCATTTGATAGAATAAACAAGTAAAAAGAGCTGGGAAGACATGAAAAAGAAAAGCGGGTGCGGAGATGCCACCCCCTGCCGCCCTGAGCTGGTACTGCACCCTTTCCGATCAGAGCAAATCGGTCCTGTTGGTATGAATTAGCTTTTGAGCATTGTCTAAAAGGAAGCTGGCTGCTTCTACTTTTTTGTTTGCCTTTTAGGCCCTCACTGAGGGCCCACATTCTGTTTAGCATCTTTAGAGTTCTTCTGGGCTTCAGAGTCCAAACCCTGGAGCTAGAGCTCAAAGATGTAAGATGAACCGAAATATCTTTGGTTTAGCCCAAATTCTCATCGTGGGGTTTGAGAAAATGCACATTGACGGGAGAAGAGAAGAATGAAAAGGGAAGCAAAGCTAGTTCCTTGTTATGTCAGGCATTTTACAGACAGTAATTTTTTTAAATCCTCGTGAAATGGGTTAAAAGTCATGTCGCAGACTGGGAAACAGTAGCCTAAGGAAATGTTAAGGGATTTTTTTTTTAAAGGGTGAAATAACGACTCTCATACAACTATAAAATACACATTATGTCAAAGGTTTTATTTAACTCATTCATTAGTGAAGGAACTAATAAGATGCAGACGCCGGTCAAGTGGAACCCTTAGTACAGACGCGCACGCTCGGGACCATCGGGGACGCTAAGGTGAGTCTGCGAACAGGCACAAAACGGGTCACTGCATCTTCGCCGCACAAAGTTTATTTGTATCTCCATGGACAAGAACCACCGCTATTGCTATCAGTTTTCTGTCACCCAGACGGTTTCTAATAGCTCAAAGACAAGGAGAGGTGAAGACCCTTCTAGAATAAAACAACCCCTGGAGGTGTCCTTTAGACTCTTGAGCGAGATTAAGTAGCGCCTTCAAGATTTCACAGCTGCTAAAGAAGAAGATGTGGAATTCGAACTCAAATCTGTGTTTCCGTAAATTCTAGCTCTTTCCTCCATGCCAAGTAGCTTTTGGACGGTGAAGGGTGATTTCCAGCAGAGATCTGTGGTCTGGGCTGCTCGTCACCTCGTTTAGTTAAAAGGCCTTGGTCTAAGAGAGGAGCAGAACCTGCGGCATCTTCCCAAGGTCTCCAAGGCCTCGGCCATCCTCCTCCTTGGTATGAATGTCCCCTCGGAAGTCCGGAGCGGCCTGGAGCGGGTCCCGCGGGGGAACGGCTGAGGAGCGACGCAGCCCGGCTCCCGTCAGCTCTTGGGCGTGGA